TAGATTTACAATAATCCCCTGCTAACATGAATAGGTTAAATGATCCTTAGTGCAACTACATGTTATGTACTATGGATCATGATTTAACCTATTCATGTTAGCAGGGGATAATTGTAACTCTATTACTGCAGTGTACGGGACGTATGTGCTGTATATGTATTATGGATCATGATTTAACCTATTCATGTTAGCAGGGCAGAATTGTGAGCGCCTCCCACAAGCTGAGCACCGAGATGCGTGAGGCTACGGGGATCGGAGTGAAACTGTGAGTAAGGGAAGCTGGGACGGGGCTGGCTGTAAATCTATTGCTATAGTGTACTGGACGTGTGTAATGTATATGTAGTGCATATATACAGCACACACCTCCACCACACTCCAGCAATAGATTTACAATTCTCCACTGCTAACATGAATAGGTTAAACCATGATCCATAGTACATAACATGTAGTTGTACTATGGATCATTTAAAGTCACCTGTCCCTTTAAGAAAAAGTATCGGTAATTGGTATCGGCAAGTACATGAGGGGATGTACTTGTACTTGGGCCTGAAAAAGTGGCATCGGGACATCCCTAGTCAAAAGACATGTGTAACAAGGTAACAAAGTAATGGAACAGGGTATAAAAAGATATCAAAAGCCTTGAAAATGCCAGCCAGTACTGTTCAAATCACTTATTAAGTGGAAAATTCGGGGATCTCGTGATACCAAGCTAAGCTCAGATAGACCAAGAAAGATTGCAGCCACAACTGCCAGGAGAATTGTTTGGGATACAAAGAAAAGTCCACAGGTAACCTCATGAGAAATACAGGCTGCTCTGGAAAAAGACTGTGTGGTTGTTTCAAGGAGCACAATACGACAATATTTGATCAAAAATGAGCTGGTCGAGTTGCCAGAAAGAAGCCAACGCCTATGCCACAAAAAAGCCCGGTTACAATATGCCGACAACACATTGACATGCCTCACAGCTTCTGACACACTGTGATTTGGAGTGACGAGACCAAAACAGAGCTTTATAGTCACAACCATAAGCGCTATGTTTGGAGAGGGGTCAACAAGGCCTATAGAGACAATACCATGACCACTGTGTAGCATGGTGGTGGCTCACTGATGTTTCGGGGGGTGTGAGCCCTAAAAGGCATGGGGAATCTTGTGAAAATTGATGGATGCAGCATGTTATCAGAACATTCTGGCAATTTGCATTCTTCTGCACAAAAGCTGCGCGTGGGACACTTTTGGACTTTCCAGAACAACAATGACCCGAAGCACAAGGCCAAGTTGACCCTCCAGTGGTTACAGCAGAAAAGTGAAGCTTCTGGAGTGGCATCACATGATCCTGACCTTGATATCATTGAGCTAC